AGTTATTCTCAGTGCTGTATGTCACCGTATACTCAAAAAGACTCTTAACAACAAGGAACTACTTTTACTACTACTGCTACCACCACGGCGGTAGCAAAGAGGATACAGTATAAGCCCTTACAAACCCAGAGGCAGTTGACTGGGAAAATGGCCACCTGTACTTTCCACAGAGTGACAGAGCGATTGTAACTGAAGGAAAAGTAGAGAGAAACAGGAGAAGTAGAAAGACGGCTCAACAAACAGCGAGGTGGAAGGGAGACACGGAAAGTTGGATAGCGATTGGTGTTCCCAAACTGAAGAAAGCCCTGCCAGGTTTACAACTCATACACACACACACACACACACACACACACACACACACACACTAAAACCTCAAAGCACCTGCCAAACATGGAAGAGGAAAAATGTGACTAATTGCATTGCTTTCCAAGCCATTGAGAGAGTAAACACCGGAGAAGAGACGTGCATATTCATAGCAGGATTGACTTGGCTGTTGAAAGTCAGAGTGAGGAGAGAGGGAGCTTCTTGGTGATTAGAGACGGACAGACAGACACGGACCAACTGACGGGTTCAGAGAAGCAGCGTGAACACTAAAAAGCCTTCTGCTGGTTCCCAACGAATGACAACGTGCTTTTAAGATCGCACATGGGCTTTTGATTTGGTTTAATAGTCATGAGACGGTGGCACTGCACTTAGCATAGCTCTTTTTTTTTAAATAATTTAAATCATGAAAGAGAAGGTGAAAGTGGGATGTTACCCCCGCTGTTAGAGGAGGTGGAGACGTTTCGCGTAGCTTGGGAATTTATTCCTGTTTGACTCCGTGGGTCGGGTCCTCATCAGAATCATAAACCGTTTATTGCCAATGTATGCTGCACATACAAGGAATTTGTCATGGCGGGTGGTGCATAACATTAAACAATAGCATTAAACAATCAACACAGTGCAAGAAATAGAAACTATATAAAATAAAGGGCACAACAAACAGATAACAGGACTATAAACAAGTATGATGAAGTGTAATGTAAAGTGTCAAGTGTGTTTAAATGAAGAAACAGAGAAGGGATGTGCAGGGTAGTGACTGGTAGGAAACTGTGTTGATGACAGAGTCAGTGGGGGTCCCGGGCTTTGTTGATGAGCCTGACTGAAGATGGGAAGAAACAGTTCATGTGGCGTCAGGTCTTGGTCCTGATGGACCTCAGCCTCCTGACAGATGGAAGGGACTCGAACAGTTCATGTCCAGGCTGAGAGGGGTCGGCTACAATCTTTCTTGCTCGCTTCAGGGTCCTTGAAGCGAACAAGTCCTGGAGGGACGGCAGATTGCAGCCAATCACCCTCTCAGCAGAGCGAATGATGCGCTGCAGCCCGCCCTTGTCCATGGCAGTGGCTGCAGCGTACCAGACTGTGATGGAGGAGCAGAGGATGGACTCAACGATGGCAGCGTAGAAGTGCACCATCATTGTCTTTGTCAGGTTGAATTTCTTCAGCTGCCTCAGGAAGTACATCCTCTGCTGAGCTTTCTTGGTGATGGAGCTGATGTTCAGCTCCCACTTGAGGTCCTGGGTTATGGTGGAGCCCAGGAAGCGGAAGGACTCCACAGCGTCGACGGGGGAGTCACACAGGGTGATAGGGGCTGGTGGGGCTGCATTCTTCCTGAAATCCACAACCATCTCCACCGTCTTTAGAGCGTTGAGCTCCAAGTTGTTCAGACCGCACCAGGTCACCAGATGGTCAGTCTCCCACCTAGGTGGACTCAACCCCACCAGAGATGAGTCCAATGAGGGTGGTGTCATCCACGAACTTCAGGAGCTTGACGGACTGGTGACTGGAGGTGCAGCTGTTGGTGTACAGGGAGAAGAGCAGAGGGGAAAGAACGCATCATTGGGGGGAACCGGTGCTGATGGTCCGGGAGGCTGAGACGTGTTTTCCCAGCTTCACGTACTGCTTCCTGTCAGACAGGAAGTCTGTGATCCACTTGCAGGTGGAGTCGGGCACGTGCAGCTGGGAGAGCTTGTCATGCAGCAAAGACAGGATGATGTTGTTAAAGACAGAGCTGAAGTCCACAAACAGGATCCTGGCGTAGGTTCCTGGGGAGTCCAGATGCTGGAGGATGAAATGAAGGGCCAAGTTGACTGCGTCATCTACAGACCTGTTAGCTCTGTAGGCGAACTGCATGGGGGTCCAGGAGTGGATCAGTAAGGGTTTTTAAGTGAGACAGGACCAGGCGTTCAAAAGACTTCACGACCACGGAGGTCAGGGCGACGGGCCTGTAGTCATTAAGTCCTGTGATCCTAGGTTTTTTGGGGACGGGGATGATGGTGGAGGCCTTGAAGCAGGCTGGTACGTGGCATGTCTCCAGGGAGGTGTTGAAGATGTCTGTAAACACCGGAAACAGCTGATCAGCACAATGCTTCAGGGTGGAGGGGGAGAAAGAGTCTGGGCCGGCTGCTGGTACAATACAAATCTTATATCATACATACACTATGTATCACAAAATCCATCTAAGTGTGTAAAGTATGGAATAACCAGTTCTGAAATAATACAGCGTGCTTTAACAGTATAGTGCTCAAATTCTGTAAGAGGCAGTGGCTCTCAACCTGGGGGTCGGGACCCCCAAAGGGGGTCGTGAAAATACATCAGGGGGTCCACTGATCATTGTGCAAAAAAACAAAGTTAAACATTGTTTTTACATTGCCTTTAGCAGTGCAACGTAGCCTCATATAGCGGTTCCTATTCCTCATTTATCGTGTGTTTTCCTGCTAATGTCCAGCTATGTGTGTTGATTTCAGCTCATTACACGTATGCAGTCTTTTCAAAATAAACTTCTACATCTTCAAAAGGGAACTACTCAGTAAGGTGTAGGATACAAAACTACCTGGTTACGTTTCGGAAAAGATTGTGAAATACTTGAATACTTGGTTAGGTTTGAGGTACAATACTACTTAGTTGGGTTGAAATAAATACTGAAATGACGTGACAAATTAGTCAACGGTGACTTCTCGTTTCACACGGGACACCAACAGCGGTTTCCTGTGGGAAATACCAGCTTTTGTCTGATCTGTCCACAGGCCGTGTGACTTTTGAATGATTACTTGTATGCGACTTAATTTGGCCTGATATCCATAATTTTTCTAGACATAGTTACGAACGCTGTATAAGAACAGCCTGACCAGTGATATAACTCGCCTTAGAATAGATTTTAGGGTTTGTGAGAGTCAAAGTGTTCTTGGACATGAGTTTCTGACAGGGGATTCCTGGCCTTCCACGAGTAGAAATACAGAACGTGTATATATATATATATATATATATGTATATATAATATATATACATATATATATATATATATATATATATATATAGATAATATAGATGGCAGTGACGGGCCGTGCATTTTATACCTAGGCCTTCACTGTTGTCCTGCAGCTGAAATACCACCTTATAACTATATGATGGCGCCACAGTTATCAGTTGCTAAGGCTGTAACTATGTACGTATTAAATGTACGTATTAAATGTACGTACCTATGTACGTAACGTTCGGTACGAGACTTGCAATACGTTTGAATAGTACTAGAGCATCTGGAAAATGCAGAAGCTTATATTCAGGAAAATATAATGTTTTCTGCGCTCATGGAGGACAGTGGTTCTCAGCTGGTCTGGCTGTGAGACCCACCATCGCTCCTTAAAGTCACGGTCCAAAGAGATCGTCTTATGATTTTACTTTCACAACTTGAACATTGAACGTACTGCTCTGCAGTGTCTTTCTTCGTCTCAGTCTCCTGTGTCATGGTGTGTGGTAATCTCACTCAGTCAGAATGCCCATATTTGATTGGCTGAGCTGCATCACGTGATGTGATTCACTACCCGACAGCCTCTGCTATTTCGTTTCACGATAGTCACGTGCTCGCCCACTGACCAATCACAGCACACTCTGCACTCGCGGCAGAGCTGCATGGACACTGAGCTGCACGTTATGCTGACGTCATTATAGGCCGGCTCGCAGGCGCTGACACGTCATCTGGTTGAACACTATGACAATCAACAATATCGTCTCCATTTACTTTAATCTGCACTGGATGCACCTGAGAGTCTGCAGGCCTGGGCCTCTGTTCTTACCTAGAGACACAGAGGTGAAATCTGATTGGATAAAAGCTCTACTTAAAACAAGCTGCACTGGAAGCAGAGCAACTGAGGAAGACAGTAGCTGTGCAATGAGAAAATAAGATAATGGGAAAAATATTTTTATAAATTACAATACATGTAGTGTATTTAAGAAAAATCATTAAATTATAAAATAGATATAACTTTGTGATTCTGTTTAGGCCAGCAGAGAAGGCTTTGCAGGCCCTGACGGCCCACCACTGATAGATGGATAGTGGCAGGTTTTTGATTGTGCAAGGGATGGATTCACCTGACGAAACCCAAATATCCACCGGTGCTTAAGAGTGTCTCCTGATTGCCACATCTCTGAAAATTCATGCAAGTTGAAAATAAAAGAGCACCCTGTTTAGAGGGCCAGTCTGTGTAGTCATATTGGCTCTTAGGCACCATTTTTCAGCAGATCAATGTCATAAATAGCCTTGTAAACTTTGCCAATAGGCATTTTTTCAAAGCAGGCATTTTGGAAATGGCAGAGTAGGAAAACCACAGGTGTTGCTGATAACGCCAACAATGGCTCTGTTCTTTGAAGTGTGACATGTTAGCGAGCCAGCATAAACAATAGCATATATGTTAAAAATGTTCTGTTAAAAATCAATATTTACAATCCTGTGAGAAATTGTATGCTTAGTAAATATGCTACGCAAAAGATTCACAATGTTCTTTAATGCATCAAAAAAAAGTCCTCATTTTATATTAAAAGGCTAAAAATGCCGCTCCACATTCTCAACATTTCTACTCTCAGCCCTCCAAAAATAACGTGTGAAAGCATGTGAGAAAAGTTTGTAAACAATTATTTTGAAATTGAAGTAATACCTTACCATGTGTTCCTCTCTTTTTTTTCAGGCTTGCAAGATGTCCTGCCAGAGTTCCTGCGGGGGCGTTTTGTGGAGGCAGCCCTCAGCTATGTGGCGTGTAACTCGGAGGGCGAGCTGCTCTGCCGCAACAATGACTGCTGGTGCCGGTGCTCGCCCCGCTTCCCAGAGTGCAACTGTCCCTTCGCTGACATCAAGGTCATGGAGGAGAACCTGAAGAAGAGCAGAAACGCCTGGGACAGCTTCAACCAAGAGTTCATGGAATCAGGTACGGGCTGGAACGATATCGGAAACTCTGCTTGTGACGAGGGTGTTTTGAATCAGCTTCTGTTTAAATGCGTGTATTTTGCATTTTAAACAGTGACAACCACAAACACAAACACTTTCAACCAATAACTCGTCAACTCCTCGAAACGGCAATGTTATTTGCAAAGAAATGGAGATATTGAGAGTGTGCATCTCAAAGAGGTAGTAGTAGACATGGTACAATAATACAGAAATAGTAGTAATACCACTACTACTTGCACATTTTCATCCTGCCCACCTCTCGTTCACATCTCCTATTCTGTCACTCTTTGCCTCTTCTATACCTGCCGAAGCTTTGCTAAGCTAAGCTAACAGTATTAACTGCTTTGTTTTTCAATGTGTTCAAGCTAAAACAGGATGGTATGTTGCGCTCTTAAACACAAGACATTCCCTGTGAGTATGTGTTGCTTTTAGCTTTACTGTTTGCCACAGTTTTGTTCTTGACACGACCACTGGATGGTGAAAAAAGGGCAACATTTTCTAATTCAACACTTTGGCTAATGTGTCTTGTGTGAATGAATGAGTCCTCAGCAGCTTGAACTGTGAATACATTCAGCAAAGAAGCAAAGGAAAGAGAAGTTTGCCTTATAAAGTGGGTTATGAGTTGGAAATCCCAGAAGTTGGTTGTAAAATATTTGGACCAGTAAGGGCTTCTTTGCGCACTCAGATCTAATGTTGTCAATGTAGATGCATGAAAGGCGGTCGCACCCTGAGATGAACATAAATCAAACTTTTGGAGCACAGCAGATGCTTGTGGAGATGTTAGATGTCAGTGCAGCTCTGACTAAAGAGGCCTTTCCCCAACAACAAAACTGCATTTTGAATTAGATTTTGAAGAGAACGTATTTTGTCGTGGATTGAATTTTCTCAAATACGTTTCAAATGCGGAGGTCCTCGTTGGGACGGGGTCAGGGTGGTGAACGGGCTATAATGAACACAGGGCTTTTAAGAACAGGAGACTGCCGTTTGTGAACCGAGCACTTTTTTTTTTTTTTTTTTACCAAACCTATCTGTGAAGTTTTGTCAAGATTTGTTTTGTTTTGTATAATTTATAACGTTAACCACGTGTTTCAAACTGTGGCCACAATCCAGGAGAAAATACTTTTCCCTTGTAAGGTAATTGAGCATGCAGTTTAGTTGTGTGGGATTGTAGTTTTGTAGAAGACAGCGTTGGTCAATGATACGGTTAGCGGGTTATGGTCGCTTGGCAACAACAGACGCTACCTGGCTTTGTGACCTTGAAAGCTGGCACAAGAGTAGACACCAAGTGCCTGGTAGACAGGCCTCGAGTTTTCCAGGCGATGAAAGACCTGGCAAGTGTCCTCGGCCTAAGAAGGTGGAATCCAGATACCAGCAGTAATGCCAACAAGAGCAAAGAAGCCTGAAGAGCCCTGAACGTTTCATCAGATCAAATGAGCTGATTAGTTACAGTTTAATACAGTCCATCAGCTCCTTAATACCACACCAGAACCTTTTTGAAGCTTTTAAGGTTTGATAAATTAAACAATTAAGTTTTAGTCGAAATTTTCTCCAACGTGTTAACCTTTAATACAAGCTTTTCCAATAAAGCCCTTCAATCAATAACTTCTCTGAGAGCTGCTGGCCCAAAATGTCTTCATTCCTTTGAATCAACCTAGAATTAAATTATTCTTTGAGGGCTTATTTGATAAAAGGCCATTATTATCACATGGCGGTGCTGTTTGGCTCGGTGTTGAGACAGGCTGAGGATGTACTGACTGTGTTACATAAGAGAGGAGCTCTGGACAGCTGGACTGACACTGTGGTGTGAGACTGTTCAGTTCCAGATGTGACGGGTGGGATGTTGATGATTTATAGCTCCAAGCTGGATGCAGTTCAACAATTTGTTTCACGCAGCGTGTACCTGTGAAGTGTTGCGTCTATATTCATGATTACTTGTGATAGTTACTGACGAATAAGGTGCAGTCATGGATGAAGTGTGATGATAACCTACCTGGATTACAGCTCAGTTGCTGCTGTTTTTTCTTCATCAAGACACATATTAAATATGTTATATTGTACATGTTTGGCTGGGCTGGGCTGTTGTTCTATGGAAGTAAAGACAGACCAGCCCCTTTAACATCTAATGATCAGGGTGGGGGTGACATTGTCTTATCAGTTAATTCTCTTCATTTTGACTGTGTTGCTTTGTCAAGTAAGCTCTAAATTAGCAAGCAACTGAAGTGAATCCAACATATCTCGGATAACAACATGTGGTTGACAATGACCAAGTGGCTAATCAGGAGAAACAGGAAGATTCCCAGTGGAATGGGCTGCTTGTTGGGCCGCAAGTGACAGGCTCAGAGAACACAATAGTTTTATAAATAGACCATGTAGGATGCTGAATTAGCTTCCTTCAAAACTCTGCCGACCACCACAAGTTCGTTTACAACTTTTATTCAACATCAACTTCACCCGACTTACATTTAGCAGGAGGCTAGCTTGACCACGACTACCTCCACTGAGACACACTGACCCCCGAAACTCTGACGTGCAATTACGTAGGACATAACGCATGACTTAGAAAGCACCACGGGCTACACTGGCAGTAGCCCAGGTAAAAGACACGAGTGACAAAGAAAGAGAAATACTCTGGCTGAAACGGCCAGAATAATAATAAAACATGGCCAAATGTGCCACACTTCTCCCTTTTACAATGTTCTCATATTTGGGGAAATAAACTAAAAATGTGAAGCTACACTTACTTGTGCTGAATTAAAAATGATGATGTTCCCGTAATAATACGCTGTGAATATCAATGTTGTAGATCAGCGGTTCCCAAACTTTTTAGGCCACGCACCCCCTTCTACACAAAAAAGACAAAAAAAACTTCCTGCACCGTGCCTTCGAAAAGGTAACGGACGTACACCAGGAGATTGGCCAGATTAGCCACATCTGTAGGCTCGTCTACTTGCAGAGAGTAAAACTCACTCTTCTTCACGCGACCGACTAATGTAGCCAGGATGTCTTCGGACAAAGCATCGATGCTGTGCGACAGTGTTGTTGGACACCGGGATCATGTCCAACTTGTTTGCTTCTCTCTCTCCAATCATACATTCCACCATCTCTTTGGCAGCTGGCAAGCACACGTCTTCGGCGATTGTGTGCGGTAGCTCCTTTCTTGCTATTCTGTGACCCGATATGAAGCCCGCAGTGCATTTTTTTAGACCCAACACATGAATGAGACTGCAGATCTTTTTGGCTGTTTTGTAACTCCTCCAATTTCGATATAAAAAATGTAAGGGGCTTTTGACTTGCACTGGCATGCTTGGTGTACAGGTGGTGACGTAAATAAGAGGGCTTCAGACAGCTGTTAGCCAGAACCTCACTGCACCAACAAGCTGTCTCCTAAAAATTACGTTCTCCCAAAACTAAAATACATTCTCAATTACATTTGACCAAAAACGTATTTTCTCCCTGATTACGTTTGTGTTTGACTTATTACATTGACTTATTACAAATACGTTTCTAATCAACATTTTAACACTTTAACATTTTTTCCCCCTCACCACCGCCTCTCATTCTCCCTATTACGCGGTCAGAATACTACCACAACACCCCGCTTGTCTCCAGCAGAAATGCGCTCATCCAGGCCGAGCAACGAGGAACATTACGCGGCTACAATACCTCCACAAAGGCCCGCGTGTAAAATCCGGGAGTAACCGTGACTCTCTTAAGGGTTAGGTTTGGGTGGGGACGTGGCTTCCTCGTGGAAGTTATGGTTAGGGTTAGATGGATACAAATAAATAAAATATACCTCCATAACACCCCGCCAATCTCGGCTCATACCTCCCCAGCAACGAGGCACATCACCCGTCCACAATACCTCCAGAATGTCCCCCGGGTGAAATCCCGGACTTGGTTTTATGGTTCCGAGTGGCGGGCGCTCACCCGTTGGCACCGGACGCGAGGTCTCCAGCCGCCCCCGCCGTGAGGCACCCCATCGTCAGGTCTGTCAGCCCTCGGAACAGGCCGCGGGGCAACAACTTGTGGGTGGCGGGGGTAGAGGCGAGGCAGATCACAGAAAAATAATAAAGACTGGAGTATGGCAAAGATATGTTGATGAGAAACGTATTTGTAATAAGTCAAACACAAACGTAATCAGGGAGAAAATACGTTTATGGTCAAACGTAATTGAGAATGCATTTTAGTTTTGGGGGAACATAATTTTTAGGAGACAGGACTGCACCATTAGACCACCATTACATTTTTCCTCTCGTGCAACCCCTAGAGGCAGGGGTGTGCGCACCACACTTTGGGAATCCCTGTTGTAGATAATCTGTAGCTATAGTAGAGCTATAATTATATATCTGCAGTATGAAAGCTGGTAAACTTACGTGGGCTGGCTTGAGGCATGAAACATTTCAGTGTTGAGGCCAACATTTAAAGCAAGACCATGTAGCAATGTACAAAAAAGCTTTGTAATACATTTCATACGTTGCCATAAACAAAAATAAACTCACCAGGCTGTCTGAGCGGCGGCGATGCACTCAGCAGTGTGTGTACTGGTAGTTCAGACACACTGTTCAGACCAAGGAAGGTGTGCAGCGATTGAACATGACTGCTTATGAAGTTAACGTTTCATTTGTAAGACGAGGATTTTTTTTTAGATTTATTTTTTTTATAAAAGAACCATGAGGATAATTGTATTCTATTTCAACTTGAATGTATGCAGAGCAAGTGTGGAGGCCTTTTCCACTCATGTGAAATTGAAAGGACAACTTCACAGTAGTGTGATAACTGAGGAAAAGTTGAATGTGGATTCACTATTGTCTCAACGATTCCTTCTGCAAACACACAAAACATATGACTTCTACTATTGCTCTATGGGATCTGGTCTGTTATAAGCTGCTGAGTTATTCAACATAATACTGTACTGTGACAAAGTTGAGAGCTGTGTGGAAGTTCTGTGTTAGCATGCTGAGCCACAGTGATGGAGGCACC